GTGCCTGCCTACCAAGCTCAAGGTCCTAAATTCAGACTCCATTACTGCAAAAAGAAAAAAGAAGAATTTTTGACAACCTTATTTTTTGAAAAAAAAAAAAAAAGAATCCTTCCAACCTTATTTGAAAATAAGAATTTTGAAAAATAAGAATTTTTAAACTACATACATTTAATCTAAATTTCATCCTAAATTTAATAATTGCAAAGCATGTGATTTCTACCATGTTGTAAATACAGATATTGAAATAATAAAATTTTACTACTCTTTAGTAAAATTTTACTTGATGCCCTACCATTAGCCTTTTTCCTAGCATGTAAGCAACTCTTCCTCAACAGTTCAGGTGTGTACTTGTTCCTTCTGCTTTGCTAATGTATTGCTCTATATTCTTTTGCCCACTGTTTTGTGTGTGTGTGTGTGTGTGTGTGTGTGTGTATGTGTGTGTGTGTGTGTAAGTACATAACAGTTACATAAATATTCTTATATATCAATATGTATATCTCAAAGTGATAAACTTTATCTTTTACAGCAGTTTTAGATTCAAAGAAAAATTGAGTGGAAACTACAAAGTTCCCATACACCCTTCCCCCACACCAACACCCTCTCCCCTACTATCAACATCCGGCTCCAGACTGATAATTGATACAATCAGTGAACCTACACTGACACATCATTGTCATCCAATCTCTCTGGCTTACATAGAGTTCACTCTAGGTGTTGCACATTCTATGCATTTGACCAGTTCACAATGACATGTGTCACACAGAACAGTTTCACTGCCCTAAGAATCCTCCATACTCAACCAAGACTTCCCTCTTCCCTGTAACACCTGACAGTCACTGATGGGCCTCAAACTTGCAATCCTCGTGCCTTAGTTTCCTGAGTGCTCAGATTACAGGTGTGCACCACCACACCAGGCATAGTTAGTCTGCAATATTTTTGCCTGAAGTGTTTTTATTGATCACCCTATCATGCTCCTGTACAGCAACAGGTGCTTATAAACTTAAAATTTTTTTCCTGTGACGTGCAAAACTCTAAAGTGTTAAATATATGGCCCCAATAACATTTTGCTGAAAAGAAAATGGAAATATTTTCAAGAAAATGCAAATCATTAATTAAACAATATAAAAAATGTTGATACCAAACTCCTGTGGCTCATGCCTGTAATCCTAACTACTTGGGAAGATTGCAGTTTGAGGCCAGCCCTGGCAAATAATTAGGGAGATCCCATCTCCAAAATATCAGAGCAAAATAGATTGGAAGTGTGGCTCAAGTGGTAGATTGCCTGCTTTGCAAGTGCAAAGTCCTAAGTTCAAACTCCACTTCAATAATAATAATGACAATAATAATGACAAAATTAGAGCACTTGCCAAATGCAGGACTATTCTATGAGCTTCACAATAAACTCGGGTGGTAGGTATTTTATCACTCTGGGCTTATTTTATTTTTTTGCAGTACTGGAGTTTGAACTGCTGCTAGGCAGGCACTCTACCACTTGAGCCACTCAACCAGCCCTATCATTCTCTTTTACTAATGGGAAAGCCGAGACCCAGAAGAGCTAAGGAATGTGTGCAATGTCACACCAAGCTTGGATTGGAAACCAGAAATTCTACCTGGACAGTCTGTGCTCCTAGCTAACATGATGGATGACCTCTCTAGGTTCCATTCATCTTAAGATGTGACATTAATCACTTGGAAGTAAATGTGGAACTTACACCTTTCTCCTTGAAGTCGTGCAAAATACACAATTGTGCCCTGCCCAGAAATGATATATAAGAAGCTTCTGCTTTCAGAGAGTGGTGAAGGAAGTGTGCTTCAGAGCACCTGGTTGTATCTCAGCAAGACTTTGCAAATCTTGTTTTGTGGGGTGGGGAGAAGGGGAGGGAAATACTGGAGTTTAAATTCAGGGTCTCACACTTGTTAGGCAGGCACTCTATTACTTGAGCCACTCTGCCAGCCCTTTTTGCTTCTTCCTGTTTGTGTTCCCCACATAGCTGGGATGACAGGCATGTGCTACTACTTTGGTTGAGATAGGGGCTGATGAACTCTTTGCCCTGGATAGCCTCAAACCATGATCATCTCAAGTAGCTAGGATTACAGGCTTGAGCCACCATGCCCAGCCAGTTTTTGCAAGTATTGAATATTTTAAAATGGGCAGAAAGGCAGGTAAGGCAGGTGGACCTGCCACCGGATTTTCTCCTATGTTTAATAAGGCACTGCCACCTTTTATTCCTCATGGATTCTGTTTTAGCTCTATTCTCATGGGATGCCCCTCAGAGGGATGCCACCTTTGAGAGGGAATGGAAGAGGATATTAAACAAATTTTATTATTCCTGCTACCCTTCTCTACAGTGTATCAAATAAATAGAATCTAACACATACCAAACCAAAACTATCAGTTTGTTACATTCTATTTAGTTCCCAACATGAATATATGTGAAGCAGGAGAAATAGTCCTACTCTGAGCATACGATGCCGAAACCAGAAGAGATTTTTCACATATTCATCTATTTGACTTCCTGATATTTTCTGCACCCTGGAGAAATGAATACAAATAAGATAAGGACTAGAAAGAAAACTTTGGAGGACTAAGAATGGAGCTTAGTGCTATAGAACTTGACCAGTGTATGTGAGGACCTGGGTTCAATCTCCAACACAGAGAGACAGAGAGAGAGAGAGAGAGAGAGAGAGAGGAGGAAAAGTTGGGTAATTGTAAAAGGGGAGTCAAAAAAGGAAGGATAGCTTGATATGCTGACTCCAGAGGTCCTCTGACAGATCAGTTTTATGTAAAAAATATATCTAGAGGTTGAATACCTGAAAAATTACTTCCATAAAACACCTGTATGACATCTTTAGAAAGTCTTCATGAACTTCCAAGAATGTGGGTCACAGATGCCAGGTGAAGAACCATAGTGCAGAGGTCTAGACAGAGAAGTCCTTTAATGCTGTCTGCTTCAAGGACTTTTGCGTGGGTCAGAGGTGCTTGGTGGACCAGGGCACTGTCAGGTTAAGGGAGTCGTTGCATTCCATGCTGAAGTGTGGGTAACGGTGCTTCTGAACTGCACCCACATGCTCTAATTGTTGAGAACAATGAGAAATTCACAGCACAATTATGTGAACAAATCACAAGCCAAATTACTCACCGGGATTCCTCCCTCTTCACCTTTCTCTGTCTCAAAGTGCCCCTTCCTTCCAGTCATTTGTTGTCAGCTTTTGGAAATCAAATATTTTATTTACAAGCTATGACTAGTAATATTTCAATACCTTCATTGAGATATAATCTGTTTGCCATCATGTTCACCTGCTTAAGTTATATAAACCAATGGTTTTGGTATCTGTATTGTATTTGTTGGACCTTTTCAATCTATAGACTCAAGTATGTCTTCTTTAATTGTTCTTTCACCTCATCTCTTTTTCTCATATATACCCTCTATTTGTCTTATATATCCTGGAGATATTCATCCCTGTACTATTGTGTCTAACTGAGCTATTTTTCCTACCTACCTTCCAGAGTATGTGCTAATATTATTCTGAACAATTTGTCTATTAAAATTATAAACACCTAGAAGGTAACACCCACGCACAGGAAATCAATGTGAGTCAATGCCCTGTATAGCTATCCTTATCTCAACCAGCAAAACCCCTTGTTCCTTCCTATTATTGCTTATACTCTCTCTACAACAAAATTAGAGATAAGGGCAAAATAGTTTCTGCTGGGTATTGAGGGGGGGAGCGGGAGGGGGTGGAGTGGGTGGTAAGGGAGGGGGTGGGGGCAGGGGGGAGAAATAAACCAAGCCTTGTATGCACATATGAATAATAAAAGAAAAAAATAAATAAATAAATAAATAAATAAGAAAAGGAAAAAAATAATAAATAAAATTATAAACATTAAAATTTAGATTTCTTATTTACTTTTATAATTTTTCAGATGCTGATCTCCACAGTTCCCACCATTGGGAGGTATTTCTTCAGGGTGTTCAACTTGATTTCCCCTTCTGGATGCTGGAGATGCTCCCTTAAAAGGAGATGATGATGATGACAATGACAATGACAAGGATGATGATTGCCTACATGTGGCTCAGTGTGGCCTTACTGATAACATTCAACTGCTTGAGGAACTCAATGAGTGGTGGAGGCAGAGCAGTGATTGGGGTGAACCTACCAACACACTCTTCTGAAGGCTCCGCCCCAAATAGGGCCTGTCACTATCTTATGGATTTACAGCAACTTTGCCTCTGTCCTCTGAGTTGGAGAACTGTTTTCTTCTGTCCTCTAAAGCCCAGAAGGTCAGGCAGCTTCACCTCTGGACTCAAAAAAGGGATACATGCAGTCCTTCCAGGAGAGGATTCATGAGAACTTTGAGTTTCCCCTGAGGTGTCACTGCTAAGAGCCTCTTGAAGAGTGAGTACTTAGCAAGCTGGAAAGTCTTTCTCCTGGGAAAACAAGAAGTACTTGAAAGACAGGTGTCAGGTGGCACCTTCACCCTGATAAGGGGCATAGTTGCAGAGCATCTGTAAGTGTCCGGGAACTGTGATTTGAGTGAACACACCCTGCCTTCCCCACATCGTCATGCTCTGGGTTCTCCTCTGTACCGGTTGTGGCACCTGCCCTCCCTCCACATCCATGCTAATTCAATTCGCCCATCAGCCTGTAGGAGTCTCAGGGATATAGGGGCCCTGCTTAGGTCAAGAAGGATTAGAAAATGGGGACACACAGATATGAAGAGGTTTCTAGACATTCCACTCAGAGCTATAGATACCCACCCAAGTGCCCACACAGGTTTTCTCTTCAGACATGTTGGATGTATTTATTTCTTAGCTAAATGACTAATATATTATCCTCTTTCTCATGTCTGGTAGGGGCAATAAAGGGGAAGAAGTATTTTCCTCAAGGATGTGAGGAACCCAAACAAAGCTGGGAAGGGACGCTTAGAAGGATAAAGAGGAAACTCAGGTCTCTGGTCCCCAGGTCTGCTTCCTCCCTGAAGAATGTGTCACTCAACTTCAGGAGCTACTTGGGCAGTTCTCTCTCCCACTCATCTCCATGGCCACTGAGGTTACTGGTTTCCTCCAGAACCAATTACGGCTCCATGAAGTTCTGTGGGGTGCTCCATGATTCCCTCCTGGACTGGAGCCCCGGCCAAGGTAGGGACCATGGGGATGGTAGACAGCTGTGTCAAAGGTGTTTCTCAGGGACAAGCAGTTTCTCTAGAAAAAGAAGTGTCAATAGTTTCAGAATTGTAGCCCCCTCTCCCAAGCCTTCACCACGGGCTCCTCTACAATCATCTTCTCCCTCACCTGGTACTCTTCCCTTCAGCCTTCATTCCTTTTCAGTACCCTTTGCTCACAGGTCACAGGCTGCCTCTGCACATTACTTGGCTCCTCTAGTTACAACCTGCTATTTCTACTTATAGCTCTCTCTTGTTCTGCACTTCCTGTCTACACACCCCTAACTTAGAGCCCCACTATTCATCTCCCATCTCCTTATGCTCCTGCTGCTCCTTCCCCAAAGTAGCTTCCTACGTATTAGGTACTTACCACATAAAAGAAGAACCCAGCAACGAGCCCTACGGCCACTACAACAGAGACCAGGGTGATGAGGAAAATTTCCCATGACTTCAGGGACCCACTGGGCTTCACCTCAATCACAGGAGTAGCAACACTTGTGCTAATTCTGTTGGAAGCTGTGTGTATTCCAGGTGTGCTAGAGTCTCTGGAGGTTATACTCAATCCAGAGTTGGAGGTTTTGATGGTCTCACCAGAGGTCACACTGGACTCAGTGTTAGAAACCATGCTAGTCCTGTGAGAGATTATACTGGATACAGTGTTAGAGGTTATACTGTTTACACTGGAGGTTACACTGGATCCAGTGTAGACAGTTGTACTGGCCCCACTAGAGGTTGCAGTGGCTGCAGTGCTGGAGGTTGTGCTGTCTCCACTGGAAATCAAGGCAGATGCAGTGCTGGAGGTTGTGCTATCCCTACTGGAGGTCAAGGTGGCTGCAGTGCTAGAGGTTGTGTTGTCCCCACTGGAGGTCAGGGTGGATGTAGTGCTGGAAGTTGTGTTGTTCCCACTGGATTCAGTACTGGCAACTGTGCTAGTTCCATCAGAGGGTACACTGGATCTAGCACTGGATGTTGTAGTGATCACATTGGAATTTGGGCTGGTTCCAGCAATGGTAGGTGTTCCGGAGGCAGTTGAGATTGTACTGGATCCAGCATTGGCAGTGCTAGTATCACTGGACGTTTTTCCTGAAGATAATTATAAATAATTCCAAATATATTTTGAGCATATGTACCTTCTTCTCAATGCTTGGCTAAGTTTATTGTATGTATAATTGTGTTTTAATACTCATTTCAGCCCTTTGATTGTCCTTTTATCATCAACTAAGACAAAGAAATTTAGAGTTAGATGGTTGCCCAAGTTCATACAGCTAGTAAGTAATGGAACAGGAAATTGAACCAAGGCTATTGAATCTGTACTTTTAGGTACAAAGCTAATTCACCCTCCAACCATCAAGAATGTCAGAATCACATGACCTCGTTTTACTGATAGATATGCTTACTGCTTACTTTATATAGAAGACCCAATAAGAATTATAAGTTTGGGACTGTAGCTCAGTCGTAGAGTGCTTGCTTAGTAGGTGCAAGGCCCTGGGTTCTATCACCAGCACCAAAAAGGGGCAGGGAATTACAGGATGAATGAAACTAATATAGATATAGATAGATAGATAGATAGATAGATAGATAGATAGATAGATAGATAGATAGATAGATTTATTCTTAAAATAGCATTTCTCTGAATATTAATCAGGAAACACCCACATCAGATTCACCTGGGGGAACTTGTTGAAAATAAAGATTCCTAGGAATGGACTAAATGAATCAAGTGGGCCCAGGTAACTGCATCTTCAGTAAGGCCAGTGATTCTATGTGTATTAAGGTTCCAGGAGCTTCTGATCACTGTGGCAAAGACTGGAGAACAAACCTTGTATAGCTTAAATGCATAAGATCTCCCAGGATTAAGAGCTGTAAGCCAAGATGTAAGATTTACGGTTATGGGGAAGGTTTCCAACTTCTTGGAGGCTTAATCACAGTTAAAGTTGTGCCTATTTTTTGCTCCTCATTATCCTGAAGGACAAGGACACTTGACTTCCTCATCCTCTATTTTCTCATCTCACTTGTGGGTCATTTCACTACTATCTGGGACATGGGTCCCTAGCACTTCACTCTACATATGTCTATTGTTTCCTTTGGTCATTTTAGAATTTAGCTCTATTTTGGAAAGTTCCCATTTTTTGGACAAATGAGTGTTAGGGTGAAATGAAATAAGAAAGTAGGGGCTGGAGATGTAACTCAGTGGTAGAGCACTTGCCTAGCATATGCTAGGGCCCTAGGTTCGATCCCCAGTACCATAAAAATAAAATTAAAGTTAAGCTGCATACAATTTAAAAAATAAGAAAGTGGGATGAAGGGGCAATTGTAAAAGGGAGAGTGGATTTAATGTGAAAAGTTTTGGAGGACAAAATAAATGAATCAAAATTATAAAAGATCTAATTTGGGTTCAAAATAGTGAATTCCCTAAGAAGTCATGTTTCCTGTTTGTGCAATAAGGATGGCCCAGGAAGTGTTTAATGGTGTCAGAGATGTGGACATAGAGTGGAAATTTGATTTTTAAATCTCATTCTCCTTGATCTGAGGTTGACTTAGGCTAATGTGGGATCAGGATTAGGAATAGGAAATAAACTGAATTTGTAGAATATAGGAGGATGATATTTTTAAAATAGCCAACTATTATTATTATTTAAGTCCTCAACTATATCACACCAGTTACTACCCTCTCACATATGCATATACTGAGGCACAGAGCAGCAACTCATCCAAAGTGTACAGCTAATTAATGGAGACATGATTCAGGTGTAGTCAATGTGAGCCCAGAGCTCACAGTTCTAACCACTGCCTCCTGAAATGATGAGAATAAAATGGTGATCCTCCTCTGTGGAGGAGACTGGATCTCATCTTAGTAACGATTACCTCTCCCACACTCCTCAAAGGTGGTCAGACCACCCACTCTTAAATAAAATCACTCACCATCTTCTAAAAGTAGGAGATGTAATAGTAGCCAATACAGAAGGACATTGTTTCCTTTCTGCATCTTCATCTGCCTCTTTGTGGCTGGAAAGCAAGATGCCTAGATTCTAGATGTGGCCAAGACCTGGAGGGTAAAGAACAAAGGATTCTTGAGAAGGGAGATCTCAAAGTGAAGAGATAAAGCCTAGAGCTTCTAGGAGCCTGGGTCTCCTAAATGCATATTCCTAGAAAGAACCTTGAGCTTGGGGTGGGTGCCGGGGCTTTATGCCTGGGTTCCTTACGCTTTCTCCATGCAATGCTGTTGCCTCTTTCTCTGTTGCAGAAGTGCTCCAAGGGCCTTTATAACTTCATGTGAGCTGGGGAGGGGTTGGGCAGTTGTCCTGACATTTTGCCAACTATGAGCATGTAACAAAAATACACTGAACCTGGGGAAAAATAGACTAGGGGATCAAGAGGAAGGTGAGAAAGAGAATGACATGATCACATCAGGCAGGTCACTGGACTGGGTTGGAGCAGGAAGCAGAAAAAAGTAAGGAGAAGAGGTTCTCACAGTGAAGGGGATCCACCCTCTGAGGCAGGGAAACAGAAATCTTTTCAAGCTCAAAATTTTGTTTCCTGGTCAAGAAGTCCTGCAGAATAGTTTTAGTATAGAAGACACCTTACTGAACTCAACTGAGGGGCAGGCCTCACTTTCAAAAGAAAGTAGTAAGTAGGGATATGGGCTTCTGGGTTACGAAAAAGATAAATGGAATGCTTCAGTGCATGCAGTTGACACTCAACAGTGCATGTTGAATTAACAGATGAAGGAACATATAGGGTTAATGAAACCATCTTTGGGCTCTGCCTTAGTTCATTTTGTATTGTTATACCAAAATACCTGAGGCTAGATATTTTTATATAGAAAAGAGGTTAATTTAGCTCACAGTTTTGGAAACTAAAAGTCTGAGATTGGGCAACTCTATCTGCTCAGCTGTGGGAAAAGCCTTCTGGCTACATCACAACATGGCAACTGACACATTGGAAGGAGTATGTGCAGGAGGGAAAGGATCACATAGTGAAAGAGTGAGTAAGGGGAAGTGCCAGGTTCTCCTATAACAACCTGCTCTCTCCTGACCAAGGAACCCCCACTACAGAAAATCATTAACACCTCTGAAAAACCCAGTCGCCTTCTACTAGGATCCACCTTTTAATGGATCCACCACCTCTCAACATCATCACACCAGGGACCAAGACTCAGCATGCGAAACTTTGGGGACAGATCACGTCCAACCCATAGCAGAGTCTCTTGGGCATTGGGAGAATATTGAATGTGCAAAATGAGTAACCTGTCAGACTTATGGCAGGTGAAAAGGCATAGGCTCCCTTCTGACCCTCAACTATGGTGTGCCCCTCCTGTTTGCTTTTGTTTTCAGAGGTCTCCACCCCAGGATCCTGCAGATGTGCCTTCTCCTTGGTCCAAATGAAGCATATCTCAGTAATGTAATACAAAGGGAGGCACAGGCACCAACATGGGAGACTTCAAATCTAATGGGAGGAGGAGATAGTCTGAGTCCTCTAGAAGTTCAAGTTTGATCTAGACACTTGAATGTGACCAACAGAAAGCACACACAGCCTTGCTAAATGAGCAAGTCTCAACAGACTCAAACGAGCAGAGGATTTGGGGAACACATAGGGAGGGCGTCTTGAAACCAGACTGATGGAATTCCAGTGATCAATCTGTATGAACAAAATGATCTGTCTCCACCCACCTATAAGTGAGAAGAAACTTCATGCAAGAGGCAGCATCTCAGTTTATGTGGAGGTGAACAAACAGTCCCCACGTGCAGGGCATATTACAAGGAAGCTGGCAGGCAGGAGGTGGCTGAAGATGTGAAGGAGGTTGGAATGGCTGAAGATGTGAAGGAGATTGGAATGGCTGAGTCTGAGAGGCAGGAAGGGACAGGCATGCTGGAATGGCTCAGAAGGAGGTCTGCCTAGTGGTTATGATACCAACTCCTGAAGCTGAGACATGAGAGCACAGACAGTGACAGGCCGGGTCCTAGACCCCCAACAATCCTATTCTGTAGCTGAAAAGTCAGTAACACTCTGAAAAAGAGAGCTTTTCCCCACCCACTTTAGAATTATATATGGAATAAGAGATCTTGAATTTGAATTTAGTTTCTACCTTTAGGAAGCTACTCTAAAAATTGTAACGTGTACTGATCAGCGTCTAAATGTAATTACTATCTTTACTCATCTTCAAAAGAATGCAGTGAACTTGGAACACTTTCTTATTACTTATCTGCCAAGTCATCAAGTATCAAGTATTATAATTCTAGCTTTTGTTTGTTTTTCAAACAGCTTTTATTTTGTTTTCCTTTGAACTTGCAATCCTCCTGCCTCTGCTTCCAAGTGCTGGGATTATAGACATGTACCATCACACCTAGGAAAAAATTCTCCTCCTCCTTCTCTTCATTTCTTCCTCATCATTTCTTCCTCCTCATTTCCCCCTACTCCTCTGCTTCCTCCTTCTCATCTCTTCCTCCTGCTCCTCCTCCTCTTCGTCCTCTTCCTTCTGGGGGGAGTGAACCCAGGGCCTCCTGCATGGTAAGCAATCATGCTAACACTGAGCTACATCCCCAGTCTTTAATTCTATCTTTTTTAACTCCATGAGAGATTCTTGTTGTCAGTTTATTGTAGTTGGCTGATGTCAAACATAGTTACACAGAGAAATAAAGTCCCTATTGAGATGGACATGTGCTTAAAACTTGAATATTCTGTTGCTAAAGATGGAGTATGGATGCTAGTGGACAACCATAAAGCTATGACACACATTTATGCTGCCTACTTTATATTTTGTGTTTAATAATCTCAATACCTGACATCTTTGTGTATCTGATCCTATTTTGTTTTTGTTTTCTTGCTGGTTTTTCTTCATGGTATCTGTTGCCGTTTGAGATTTGAGATTCGCAACTATGACTTTACTCTTCTTAGGATGTTATCTGTGGAAGTTCTTTGAAGCCTGAGATGGAGAAATGACCTTCCATAGACGATTTGCATGTTTCTGCCAGCATATGGATGCATCACTATTTGAGGATTCTTTATTTTGTGTTATAGGATTGAGTCTTTGAATTACCTATATGGCATGATTCCGACTGAAAATCTTGTAAAGTATTGTGTGGGTGTAATTTATGTCTCAAGGGACACTTCCCCACCCTACCCTGCACCAAGTTCAGAGACAAGTGATTTTCCTTGTATTTCCTTAGAGGAGAGATGAGTCCATTATTAGTTCATACTCTCACTGAAGTCTCCAGATTTAGTTGAAATTCTGCTACTGGATTCTCTCCCTGGGCTGATCTACTGAAGACATGGTGGCTGAAGCTCAAGTTCACTGGGTTTGGCAAAAGTTGGCCTCAGTAAGGCTCCCCTTACCTACTTGGCTTCCCACTTCAACTTAGTTTTAATTTTAACATTCCTTACTTTCCTTTTAAATTATTTTCACTGTGATATCTAACACATGCATATAATATACTTTGATCAAGTTCACCCCACCTATCTTACTCTTTCTTAATCTCTTTCCCTCCTTCCCCCTCTTTTTTAACAGCTTTTAGTGGTTTTCCACCAATTCCTTGAAGAAGGTTTTTTTAGTTCATTATTTTTAAGTGTTTTGGGATAATATCCAGTCCATGTTTACCCAGTAATTTAGATTGTTTTGAGGAGAGAAATGACTTACAGGCACTAGCATAGCATTTGTCAAATAAAAAGCAAGCAATAGTAAAGGATAAAATAAAAACAAAATGACAAACACAAAAACATAAGGATGTAGATGCCAAGTGTATTTTGGGATTTCAAATGTAGCACTGTCCTAGTGAACTTTTTCCTTTGTTGTCATGTAACACTTGGAAGAGACAAAGTAGGAAGGAAAAATCTTCCTAAGAATGAAGGAGACCTAGTGAGCACTGAGAAGGTATCTAAGATGACTTTCTGATCTATTCCTGTCTGAGTCCATTTTAGGCTGTTATAACAGAATGTCACAAACTGGGTAACTTGTAAAGATCAGAAAAGTATTCCTCACAGTTCTGAAGGCTGGGAAGTCCAAGATTAAGGCACTGGCAGACTCTGTGTCTGGTAAGGGCCCAGTCTCTGTTTCCAAGATGGCATTTTAAAAGCTGTATCCTCCAAGGGAAGACAGTTATTCACTCAGCAAAAGAGAGAACCCACTCCTGTGAGCCCTTTTTATAGCAGCATTAATCCATTCGAGAAGGCTCTTCCCTTGTGACCTAAACACCTACCATTAGACTGCCTCCCAACATTATTGCATTGGGATTAAGTTTCAACACAAATTTTGGAAAGGACAAAAACATTCAAGACATATCAGTTTGTAAAGCAGATACCTTAAAAGCAACTGAGGCCAATAGGAGAGGGGGACCAGGAACTAGAGAAAAAGTTAGATCAAGAAGAATTAACCTAGAAGGTAACACACATGCACAGGAAATCAATGCGAGTCAACTCCCTGTAAAGCTATCCTTATCTCAACTAGCAAAAACCCTTGTTCCTTCCTATTATTGCTTATACTCTCTCTTCAACAAAATTAGAGATAAGGGCAAAATAGTGTCTGCCGGGTATCAAGGGGGTAGGGGGGGGAGAGGGAGGGGGCAGGGTAGGTAGTAAGGGAGGAGGTGGGGGAAGGGGGAAGAAATGACCCAAACAATGTATGCACATATGAATAAAAAAAAGATATATCAGTTTGTGTGATTAGAAGTCATAAACCCAAATGAAGAACATTGTGTAATTATGAATTCTTAGGGAAGATTTTTTTATACTCATTTCACTCACTGTCACATTTAGAGACATATATTTGCACTATAGTTTCCAATTGTGTACAGTGTAGTTTTATAGTTTATTTATATGTTGAAGTTTTGACCCTTTTCAGTCTCAGATTTGTTTAGGGTATATTTTAAACTCCACCCTTGTACAGACCCAGGACTTGCCTCCTGTACTATAAGCAACAGAAAGCTATGAGAAAATAAACTCAAATTCACCAGGTTTGGCAAATTCCCTCAGTGCAAAGTCTGGTTCAGAGCTTGCCTTAAGCCTCTTTGAGGCTCTGCTTTCTCTGTCGTTGATCTAAACAGTACCTGCTAGCTATCCAACTAACTTGTTGTAGTTACATTATTTTCATTTTATACAGAAATTGTTGTTGCTTTCAGTTAGTAGGGCAGTTAATGTACCTTATCCACTATATTGCCAGAAAAGTAGGAGTTCTAAAGGACGTTTTTAATCATTAAGTGATACCATATTGAAGTCAACCAATATAATGCTTAGTGCATAGAAAGTACTCATTTACAAGTGAGGAGAAACGGGGGAAATACCTAAACAAACAAGAAAACATATTCTCTTCCTACCACAAACACTCTTGAGCTTATTTAAGCGTCCTCGTACCGATTGTAATGTATGCTGAAGAAACAAAACAGCAGAAATCCGAAGCCTAAAGGGCACAGGTTACGACTTACACATGAGAAAGCAAAGAGACATTGATCTGAGCCACGATCAAGCTCAAAATATTTCTATTTGTGGTCACAATCAAACTTGTTGAGGCTGTACATCTCCTCCAGAGCCACTCTGTTTTTCTGGCTGCTCTTTTGGTCAAGCTCTCTGTGATCTTTTCTCTGGTACTTTTCTTGACCTCATCATGACATCTATGGCCAATTCCCTGGAGATCTTGAGGATGCCCATCCTGACCCATTTTATGATTTCTGCCTTCTCCTCCATGACGTCCTTCTTGCCCAAGGTTTACTTTCCCAAAGCTTCTCCCACTATCCAGTCCATGTCCACATTCTACTTTTCCTTGGTGGCCTCCTCTGTGATCTACTCCACGGCTATTGCTGTGCCCTCTTCTGTGCCCACGATTCCTGCCATGGTTCTTTCCATAGCCTTCTCCACAACTGTAGCTTGATTCATGGCCCACTCCATGTCCAAAACGATGTACTCCTCCAGGTCCAATGTCAGGTCCTCCTCCATGAACCAGTGCATTTCCATGAACTGGTGCATTTCCCGGGCTGTAGATCTCCTAGAGCCTGAGTCCATGCCCAGATCATGGGGGCAATAAATGCCTCTACTTATCAGGGAAAGAAAAAAATCCTTCTAAAAGAGAAAAATTAGAGTAAAATCCTTTTTCTATGTCACTTCAGCCTTGTTGTTTTGTCAAAAATAACAAATTTCACTTTTCAATTCTATTTTCTGTCTTCTCATCAGTTCTTCGTGTGTGTATAATATTATAATTCTCTTCTTCTCATTTATTTTTTGCCAAAAAAACAGACTTCCTAATTATTGTACTTTCATATTTCCTAATGAGTGCTATGATCATTGCTCCATCCTCATACACTGGTGAGGATACAAGCCACTCCTTCTCAAAATAAAGGTAAATCTACAACTTGTACCTAGGGAGTTCAGTCTCCCAGGAAATAGGGAGCCTTTCATTATGTTATCAACCAAGAAATTTGCATGCCTATGAGGATAAAATAAATTAAAGCTCATTAAACAGAAGTCAGAAGAGTAGTAACCTTTAGTGTAGTAGGTATTGACTGGGAGGAGAAACAAAGGAATACTCATATTTCATAGAAATATTCCTTATGCTAAACTAGGTAGTGGTTATATAGATGCATACATATACATATAAGTATATAGGTGTAATTTTAAATTAATCAAACTGTATACATAAGATTGTATACTTTTTGTAGATAATACAGTACTTCAATATTTTTTCAGTAGTGAACTAAATTTCTTCAATTAATGTTCTTTTGTTTTTAAATCTTTTTTTAATTTTATTCATCTGTGCATACAATGTTTGGGACATTTCTCCTCCTTTCCCCCCACCCCCTCCCTTACCCCCCCAACCCCTCGCTACCAGGCAGAAACTATTTTGCCCTTATCTCTAATTTTGCTGAAGAGAGAGTATAAGCAATAATAGGAAGGAACAAGGGTTTTTGCTAGTTGAGATAAGGATAGCTATACAGGGAGTAGACTGGCATTGCTTTCATGTACATGTGTGTTACCTTCTAAGTTAATTCTTCTTGAACAAACCTTTTCTCGAGTTCCTGGTCCCCTTCTCCTATTGGCCTCAGTCGCTTTAAAGTATCTGTATTAGTTTCTCTGCATTGAGGGCAACAAATGCTATCTAGTTTATTGGGTGTCTTACCTATCCTCACCCCTCCCTTGTGTGCTCTCGCTTTATCATGTGATCAAAGTCCAATCCCCTTGTTGTGTTTGCCCTTGATCTAATGTCCGCATATGAGGAAGAACATACGATTTTTGGTCTTTTGGGCCAGACTAACCTCACTCAGAATGATGTTCTCCAATTCCATCCATTTACCTGCGAATGATAACATTTCATTCTTTTTCATGGCTGCATAAAATTCCATTGTGTATAAATACCACATTTTCTTAATCCATTCGTCAATGGTGGGGCATCTTAGCTGTTTCCATAACTTGGCTATTGTGAATAGTGCTGCAATAAACATGGGTGTGCAGGTGCCTCTGGAGTAACTTGTGTCATAGTCTTATGGGTATGTCCCCAAGAATGGTATTGCTGGATCATATGGTAGATCTATGTTTAGATTTTTAAGAAGCTGCCAAATTCTTTTCCAGAGTGGTTGTACTAGTTTACATTCCCACCAACATTGTAAGAGGGTTTCTTTTTCCCCACATCCTCACCAACACCTGTTGTTAGTGGTGTTGCTGATGATGGCTATTCTAACATGGGTGAGGTGGAATCTTAGTGTGGTTTTAACTTGCATTTCCTTTATGCTAGGGATGATGAGCATTTTTTCATGTGTTTTTTGGCCATTTGAATTTCTTCTTTTGAGAAAGTTCTGTTTAGTTCACTTGCCCATTACTTTATTGGCTCATTAATTTTGGGAGATTTTAGTTTTTTGAGTTCCCTATATATTCTGGTTATCAGTCCTTTTTCTGATGTGTAGCTGGCAAATATTTTCTCCCACTCTGTGGGTGTTCTCTTCAGCTTGGAGACCATTTCTTTTGTTGAGCAGAAGCTTTTTAGTTTTATGAAGTCCCATTTATCTATGCAATCTCTTAGTTGCTGAGCTGCTGGGGTTCCATTGAGAAAGTTCTTGCCTATACTATTAATTCCAGAGTATTTCCTACTCTTTCCTAAGCCAACTTTAGAGTTTAGGGTCTGATATTAAGGTCTGTGATCCATGTTGAGTTAATATTGGTATAGGGTGATAAACATAGATCTAGTTTCAGTTTTTTGCAGACTGCTAACCAGTTTTCCCAGCAGTTTTTGTTGAAGAGGCTGTCTTTTCTCCATCGTTTAAGTTTAGCACCTTTGTTAAAAGACAAGTTGGTTATAGTTGTGTGGCTTCATATCCGGGTCCTCTATTCTGTTCTACTTGTCATCATGTCTGTTTTTGTGCCAGTACCATGCTGTTTTTATTGGTTTTGCTTTGTAACATAGTTTGAAGTCAGGTATTGTGCTACCTCCAGTGTTGTTCTTTTTACTGAGCATTTCCTTGGCTATTCGTGGCCTCTTGTTTTTCCCTATAAATTTAACAGTAGATTTTTCAATCTCTTTGATGAATGTCATTGGGATTTTGATGGGAATTGCATTAAACATGCAGATTACTTTTGGGAGTATAAACATTTTTACTATGTGATTCTACCAATCCATGAGCATGGGACATCTCTCCACTTTCTATAGTCTTCCTCAATCCCTTTCTTCAGAAGTTTACAGTTTTCCTTGTAGAGGTCATTTACATCCTTTGTTAGGTTTACACCTAGATATTTGATTTTTTTTGAGGCTATTATAAATGGAATTTTTTCATATATTCTTTCTCAGTTTGTTCATTATTAGTGTATAGAAATGCTAATGATTTTTCTATGTTGATTTTGTATCCTCTACCTTGCTATAGCTATTGATGGTATCTAGGAACTTCTGAGTAGAGTTTTTTGGGTCTTTAAGGTATAGGATCATATCGTCTGCAAATAGGGATATTTTGACAGTTTCTTTACCTATTTGTATTCCTTCTTCTTCTTGCCTAATTGCTCTGGCTAGAAATTCTAGTACTATGTTGAATAGGAGTGAAGATAGTGGGCATCCTTGTCTAGTTCCTGATTTTAGAGGGAATGGTTTCAGTTTTTTACCGTTAAGTATAATGCTGGCTGTAGGTTTGTCATATATAGCTTTTATAATGTTGAGGTACTTTCCTTCTATTCCTAATTTTCCTAGATGAAGCCGACTTGGTCATGTTGAATGATCTTTTTGATGTGTTGTTGAATTTGGTTTGCCATTATTTTATTGAGGATTTTTGCATCAGTGTTCATTAAGGAGATTGGCCTATAGTTCTCCTTTTTGGAGGTGTCTTTGCCTGGTTTGGGGGTAAGTGTAATACTGGCTTCATAAAATGTGTTAGGCAGTTTTCCTTCCCTTTCTATTTCGTGGAACATTTTAAGGAGGGTTGGTATCAGTTCTTCTTTAAAGGTCTGATAGAATTCAGCAGAGAATCCATCAGGTCCTGGACTTTTCTTTTTGGGGAGACTCTTGATTGCTGCTTCAATTTCATTTTGTGTTATAGATCTATTCAGATTATTAATATCCTCTCGGTTCAGTTTTGGATGATCACATGCATCTAGAAATCTGTCCATTTCTTTAAGATTTTCAAATTTATTTGAATATAGATTCTCAAAGTAGTCTCTGATGATTTCCTGGATTTCCATGGTGTTTGTTGTTATCTCCCCTTTTGCATTCCTGATTCTATTAATTTGGGTTTTTTCTCTTCTCATTTTAGTCAGGTTTGCCAGGCATCTGTCAATCTTGTTTATTTTTTCAAAGAACCAACTTTGTGTTTCATTAATTCTTTGTATGGTTTTTTTTGGTTTCTATTTCATTGATTTCAGCTCTTATTTTTATTATTTCTCTCCTTCTATTTGTTTTGGGATTTGCTTGTTCTTGTTTTTCTAGGAGTTTGAGATGTATCATTAGGTCATTGACTTGAGATCTTTCAGTCTTTTTAATATATGCACTCATGGCTATAAACTTTCCTCTCAGGACTGCCTTTGCTGTGTCCCATAGGTTCCGGTAGGTTGTGTTTTCATTTTCATTGACTTCCAGGAACTTTTAAATTTCATCTTTTATTTCATCAATGACCCATTGTTCATAAAAGCAATGAGTTATTCAGTTTCCAGCTGTTTGCATGTTTTTTGTCTTTATTTTTGTTGTTGAGTTCTAGTTTTATTGCATTGTGATCAGATAGAATGCATGGTATAATTTCTATTTTCTTATATTTGCTGAGGCTCACTTTGTGCCCTAGGATATGATCTATTTTGGAGAAGTTTCCATAGGGTGCTGAGAAGAATGTATATTGTGTATAAGTTGGATGGAATGTTCTGTAGACATCAACTAGGTCCATTTGATCTATGGTATATTTTAGATCTATTATTTCTTTATTGATTTTTTTTTGTTTGGATGACCTATCTATTGATGATAATGGGGTGTTAAAGTCTCCCACGACCACTGTGTTGGAGTTAATATATGCTTTTAGGTCCTTCAGGGTATGTTTGATGAAATTGGGTGTGTTGACATTGGGTGCATATAGGTTGATAATTGTTATTTTCTTTTGGTCCATTTCCCCTTTTATTAGTATGGAATGACCTTCTTTATCTCATTTGATCAATGTAGGTTTGAAATCTACTTTGTCAGAGATAAGTATTGCTACTCCTGCCTGTTTTCAGGGGCCATTGGCTTGGTAAATCTT